CTTTCTATTTTGTTTTTCTTCTTTCATTCTCCTTTTCGCCATATTTTCTCTTTCATTGTTTCTTTCCTTCTCTTTGTCTCTTTATCTGTCTGTCTGTCTCTCCACGCATGGCGCAGGAGTGTGTAGCTGATAGAGTGATTCGGTAAAATATAAGACAATGAAATATGGATAATGGTGGACGAAACACGATGGAATAAGGGTGATAGCTGACGAAACACGATGAAATAAGGATGATAGCTGACGAAACACGATGAAATAAGGATGATAGCTGACGAAACACGACGAAATAAGGATGATAGCTGACGAAACACGACGAAATAAGGATGATAGCTGACGAAACACGACGAAATAAGGATGATAGCTGACGAAACACGATGAAATAAGGATGATAGCTGACGAAACACGATGAAATAAGGATGATAGCTGACGAAACACGACGAAATAAGGATGATAGCTGACGAAACACGACGAAATAAGGATGATAGCTGACGAAACACGACGAAATAAGGATGATAGCTGACGAAACACGATGAAATAAGGATGATAGCTGACGAAACACGATGAAATAAGGATGATAGCTGACGAAATAAGGATGATAGCTGACAAAACACGATGAAATAAGGATGATAGCTGACGAAATAAGGATGATAGCTGACGAAACACGATGAAGTAAGGATGATAGCTGACGAAACACGACGAAATAAGGATGATAGTTAACGAAACACGATGAAATGGAAATGGTACATTTTAGAGTAGGGTGCTATTAAGGTGATAAATGAGGGAAGATTTGAAGTAAGGATTGTGAATGATGAAATGTGAAATAAGGATGTTGTAGGATTCAAGCCGAGATGATATGAAGTAGGTGTAATGAGAAGAGATGATATTGATAAACATACCTATACACACACACACACATACACACTCCCATACACATACAGTACACACATACACACACCCATACACACACCCATACACATACAGTACACCCATACACATACACACTCCCATACACATACAGTACACACATACACGCACATACATACATACATACACACACACACACACGCGCGCACACGCACGCACACGCACACACTCGCACACACTCGCACACACTCACACACACACTCGCACACACTCACACACACACACACACACACACACACGGTATCATTGTGTTATATGTGCTCACCGAGGTATGTAACTTCGGTCACTGACTCGACAACGTGAAGGTCAGGGGCAACAGATGGTGGTAGTGGCAGGTTGGTGGTGGTAGGGTGGTGGTGGTGGTGTGTGGGATTGAAAGTGGTGTGGTGCATCGTTTGTAGCTAATAATGCAATTGGTGGTGGTAACAGGTTAGTGTGTGTGTGGTGGTGTGGTAGGTTGTGATGGCTGGGTTAGTGGTAGTGTGGTAGTGGCAGGTTGGTGGTGGTAGGGTGGTGGTGGTGGTGGTAATAGCGTGGTGCTGGGGATGACCACCTCCTCCCGACACTCTACTTCCTCCTGCCAATCATTCATGGGTCACCTTGTTGACATTTTCACGGTTTGGTTCATTTATTAATCCGTCTCCCGAACTTTGAAAGAATCCAAATCAATTATCATTAGTTCCTATATTATTATCTCATACTTAAGTCATTATTTCATTGTGTTGAATAACATTTCCGGTTTTTGTAGATATATGAAGAGATAAGAAAAATTGATCACCGAATTATATCAACTTAACGTTCAAATTATAATGCTTCCGGCAGGACCACTTTAATCCTCTCAAGTCTCGGAGCAACTTGGAGGCCATTATTGGTGGTTAGGTTACGTGTTAGTTTAAGTGAGCCAGCTTGATGCGGTCTTACAAATCCGAGTTAATAGATAATTATTTTACGTGAGCTTCAGATACTCGGACTTGTACTGTAAACCTTGAGAATGTTTAGTTGTGAGGGGGGAGAGGGGTGGAGGGAAGGAATGGGAACAAAGGAGAGGTGGAGGGAAAACAGGAAGGAGGGAGGAAGTAGGAAGAATGAAGGAAGAGTGAAAGGAAAACAGGAGGGAGGGAGGTAGGGGAGGAGAGAAGCGAGGGAGGGCAGCAGGGAGGGAGGGTAGCGTGTCACTTAATACTGCAGAACTTGTCCACCTGGATCATTACACACGCTATAAAAAAAATAGTATACTGCTATCTTAATGTCAGGCAGCTGCGCCAGGCGTATCATCTCCAGCACTGGCATTTTTTCACTCGCATGATGTAACAGTATAGACAGAGTGACGCTGGTCTCTTGAGTACTTTACGGTACAGTACACCTTTCAAAGAATCTTATTTCTGGAGTATGATGTCATTATTGAAGGTGTATCATAATGAAAACTCAAAGGTCAGGTTTTTACTTTTGTGAAGGTGGACCTTGTGTTGTGTTGTGTTGCTGTTAGTGTTTGTCTGTGTGTGTGTATTGTATGTCTGTACATTTAAGTTCTTACATACATCATTACGCACCTATACGTTGTACTACTATTGCGTGCCGAACAACACGTCCACAAGCTCATAAATATCACCATTTATTACTTTTGGGCTCCTGGACGTCAATCCTTGGATGTAAACAAACAGCGACACAACTTAGCAACGGCAGCTCGACCGACACGCACCCAACCCAGTGTACTCATGTTGCTACTGAGTTCTTTGTCTCACGGATTTATAAGTATAGTTTTAATTGTGACACTTCTATAATAGGTTTTGACACTTCTGTTATAGTCTTTGACACTTCTAATATATATTAATGTCGTTGAAAAGAATCATATTTTGTATGAGGGCGTTACCGTAGTTTTGAGATTCACCGGATGAATAGAGAGAATCCTGAGGAGTATTGGGTAATACTGAATGTAAAACACAGGATGATAGAAATTATATAGTCTAGTCAAGCTCAACTATTATAGAGATTAACGTTGTTCGTCCTAGTAGAAAGGTAACATGAAGGATGAGGGGAGAAGCGTTCTCACCTGTGACTCCTCGCTCCCCCTTACCTGCCCCTCTCCCCCCTCCCTGCCCCTCTCCCACCCCCTTCCCTGCCCCTCTCCCACCACCTTCCCTGCCCCTCTCCCCCACCCCCTTCCCTACCCTCTCCTCCTCCCTGCCCCCTCCCCCCTCCCTGCCCTCTCCCCCCTCCCTGCCCCTCTCCCCTCCCTGCCCCCTCTCTCCTGCCCCTCTCCATCCTTCCCTCCCCCTCTCCTGCTTGTCTCCCCCTCCCCCCCTACCCTCTCCCCCTCCCTCTTTCTCCCCTCCTACCCCCTCCCTCACCCTGCCCCTCTCCCCCTCCCTGCCCCTCTCCCCCCCCCCCACCCTCACCCTCCCCCCACCCCACCCCTCTCCTCCTCCCTGCCTCCCTCCCCCCTCCTGCCCCTCTCCCCTCCCTGCCCCTCTCCCTGCCCCTCTCCTGCCCCTCCCCCTCGCTCGATAGTGGGAGAAGGTCCGCCCTAAATGTTGGCACCGGTACTACTGCAATGAGTACTACGCCCTGCAGGAGACAGACGAGCATAACCTACCCAATGTGTTGACTGACCGGAGGAAGTTTTGGTGAAATTAAAGATGTTGAATTTTTGTATCACTGGTGTGTGTGTGTGTGTGTGTGTGCGTGCGTGCGTGCGTGTGGGTGTGCGTGTACGTGCAGGACTGCGTTTGCGTGTGTTGAAGCCCCCTGTAACCACCACTGAAATCTATTACACAGCCACCATGATAGTAGTGACACGCGTTACTTCATAATTAACTTGTTGTAAAAGGTTAGGTGTTGGTTGTCACACTCGAGCCACGGAGTTATGTACCACCCACTTACCTCATAGTTAGTGTTATAATAATGGAACGTTAGTATCCTGCTAGGTTAGGTTAAGAATGGTCATTTTAGGTTAGGTTAGGTTAAGAACGGCTATTTTAGGTTTGGTTAGAAAAGGATATTTTGGGTTAGGTTACGTTAGGTTAGGAAAGAAAAGGAAATTTTGGGTTAGTTTAGGTTAGGTTACGTTATGAAAGGAAGCGATATTTTAGGTTAGGTTTGATTAGAAAAGGTTAGTTTAAGTTGAAGGTTATTTTAGATTATGAAAGGATATTTCAGTATAGGGTAGGGAAGGTTAGGTTAGGTGTCCTCAAAGCTGTTAATGTTCCGAGGCCGTAACTCTTATATTAAGATATTACAAATCAATGTTGGTGGTGGGGAGGGCCAGTGCTGGTGGTGGGGAGGGCCAGTGCTGGTGGTGGGGAGGGCCAGTGCTGGTGGTGGGAGGCCCAGCTGGTGGTGGGAAGCCCAGTGCTGGTGGTGGAGGGCCAGTGCTGGTGGTGGGGGGCCCAGTGCTGGTGGTGCGGAGGGCCAGTGCTGGTGGTGGAGTGCTGTGGTGCGGAGGCCCAGTGCTGGTGGTGCGGAGGGCCAGTGCTGGTGGTGGGGAGGCCAGTGCTGGTGGTGCGGAGGCCCAGTGCTGGTGGAGCGGAGGGCCAGTACTGGTGGTGGAGAGGGCCAGTGCTGGTGGTGGAGAGGGCCAGTGCTGGTGGTGGGAGGGCCAGTGCTGGTGGTGGAGAGGGCCAGTACTGGTGGTGGAGAGGGCCTCACGACAACTCGTATGGCTACACAAGCCTCACCCGGGCCGATCCTTACTATAACTCTCGTCTGGCTTATTTTTGTCTCCTCGTGACAACTTTGTGAATGTGTGTGTGTGTGTGTGCGCGCGCGCTTCTTTGTAGTTGTGTGGGCACACAAACATCAGCTGAGTCCATCCTTGACACAGTCCTAGTTTCAGCGGGAACCATTGAAACTTGGCAACAGTGGAGGGCCACCACCTTCACTCTCACTCAAGGCCTTGCGTTTGTCTATCTGCTCTTCCAGGAGTAAACATGCCTAAAGCGATAATGACAGTGTTTTGTTAATCATTTAATAATATTAAAATAACTTGCTAATCCTTTCGTAAATCAACAATTGAACACATTGTTTCGTGTCCAAAATATCCTAACAAAATAAATATAAAAATGTTATTTGTTTTCCAGGGTGTACGAGGCAGTGATCCTGCGGACGGGAAATTCACTGTCGTACAAGCAGTTGGTGGTGACGGGGGAGGACCTGTACGTGACGGAGACGCCACCACGCTCCGTCACTCACCTCCTTAACGCCGCCCAGATCACTGACGTCATACTTGTAAGTAATGATCTAGGATTATATATATTGTTGTAATGCACTTCTCAACATTGGCATGTTGACGTCACACCGACAAGTAACACTTATATATATATATATATATATATATATATATATATATATATATATATATATATATATATATATATATATATATATATATATATATATATATATTCTCACAACTACTTTCACTCACTTTCATCCGGTAAATATGACACATTGATGTTCAAAGGAGAAGTTACATACCCATTTTGACCAGACTGTATGACTGACAACAGATCGGGTAATATCATCACAGTTCCAAAAAATATTCGATACATAGGGAGTTCGTTAATGTACGCGAGTTTACTTTAAAAATAATGCATTGCGTCAGAGAAAGAATTCTCCTTATACAGTACAGAGTTTTATCTCATATTTTTTTTAAATGTTGGTATAGTGTAATTACTAACCGTTTTACGCGCTTAAAGACCCTTGTTGTTGAAGTGAAGTATCCAAAGCGTTAATAACTATAAATGATAATTGTTTTTTGCTTTTGTGTTCACTTTTTGTTTCAGGGGTGACGGTGAACAGACATACTTCTTCATATGCAAGAGAATACTTTATTAGAGGTGTGTGTGTGTGACACAAACTGTGTGAAGAAACTACTCGTATAGTGTGGAGGTAAACAAGGTGGTTATACTGCTGTGTATCGTAGTCATGGCAACGGTCGCTGGGCCACGTAAACAAGAGGTGGTGACTGCTGCCACCACTTACCTCCTCCTCACGTTTACCCTTTAGTTTTATTTATGTTGTTCATGTTTATAGAAATGAAACGTGGGCATTTTACGATATGAACACTAATGAAATCAATATTGTGTTTTGTATACTGTACAGCTGGGTCCCTATGTCACGGGCTAGGTCACGGGTTGCCATAAGCTAGGTCACGGGCTGCCATAAGGTAGGTCACGGGTTGCCATAAGCTAGAGCACGGGTTGCCATAAGCTAGGTCACGGGTTGCCATAAGCTAGGTTGCGAGTTGCCATAAGCTAGGTCACGGGTTGCCATAAGATAGGTCACTGGTCATAAGTTAGGTAACGGGCTGGGTCAGAGGGAAGATGGCAGAAAATAAGCATGGCATTGAAATCCAACCTTTCAGTAGGCTTTCATAGAGCGTAAAGTTGATTATTTGTTGGGAATGTTCTGTACCTAACCCAAGCCCGTTAGTTCAGTAGCACCAGGAAACTTTACATATGAACCAAAATTAGAAAAAAAAACGTCTAGAGTTTCTGAAGATGGGTGCCATTAATGTCGGTCAGAGCAAAATATGTATGGTGAGGTCAGAAGTCAAACGAAGTCAAAGTGTAGAAGAGCGGAAAGAGCTCCAGGGACGGATTGTAACAGAGGCCCAATCAAACCACAAAGCTTTTTACCGTGTCGCTTAACCAAAATTGAGGACACGTGTGGGTGTATCGGATCTGAGGCGTGAGGGTGGTATTGTTGTTACACGGGCTCAGACCAGGACAAAGCGGAGGTATAAAGTTAACTATTTTCCTCATTGTATACAAGGGAGGATGAATATAACGACTTACCTTTGAAGAAGTATCAATTAACTGTAAAACTGGTGTATATGAAATGATCAGAGTGTATTAGAGCTAAGTTTACCGAGGCCCAAGCTGTATACAAATGTGAACTTGTGTAAGGAACTCTCAGAACCCGCTCAAATCTTCTCGTTCTACAAAGGTATATACTGTACAAACAAAGGGTCCCAAGTGAGTCATATATTCAAAACGGACGACCGCCATTGTACGACTTATTGCAGGCCGATGGGTTTGACCAGCGTAGTATGTAAAGTATTATAGACCATATTAAGCGATGCCATGATGAAACGTTTACAACAGAACAGCCTTGTGAAGGAATGCCTGCACGGTCTTATTCCCGGACGATCATGCTTGACGCAGGTGCTGGAGGTGCTGGGTGTGTAGCCATAGAATTGGGGATTATTATCGCGTGTTTTCCACGGAGAAGCACAGTGAAGATACTGAAGGTAGAGAAGAACAGTGAAATTATGGAAGCACAATGAAGGTAAAATAGTACAGTGAAGGTATGGATACAAATTGAAGCGAGGGAAGCACTGAAGGCTGGGAAGCACAATGAAGCTAGGGAAGCATGTTGAAAGTTGGGAAGTGCACTAAAAGTAAGGAAGCACAATGCAGATAGGGAAATGGTAAAAGTAGGGAAGCACGCCTTTGAGGCATGGCCACAATCTACTCTTAGTCTTTGCTTGGTGCCTTGGTGCTGCCTCAGTCACAAATTTGGGAAATTTCTAAGCCTTTGGCTCCCCCTCCGCCCCATACAAAATAAAATCATAAAGCCACTGATTTGAAGTAGTGTAATTCTATTTGATATCTGAGATACTCCAAGGGCTGCAAATTGATTGAGAACGTCCAAAGTTGGGCCACCAAACTGGTGCCGACACCGACACCTCAATTACTACGAGATATAAGAAAATCTTCAACTGCCTACTTTAACGATTAATTATCTTTTATCCTTTTCACCACTGATCGGCTCGTTAGCCGCTTGGGCGATCGGTCACGTCTTTGATTACTTTTCCTTTTCTTTTATCCTCTTCACCAAAAGATCGGCTCGTTCGCCGCTTGGACAATCGGTCACGTCTCTATTACGCACTGTTGGCATGTACTGGGCATGCACCGGCTCCTGAATGTACCTGAACCCGCTCCAGTATTGGTCAAGTCTTGTCTTGGAAGAGCTTACACTCGGTGCCGTCACAACACTTTCTGGTAGATTGTTCCAAGAGTTTACAACCCTCACTCCGAAAAAGTTTGCCCTCACAGTTTTCTGGACTTGCGGCTTCTTCAATCTTGAGCTGTGACCCTTTGTGGGGCGAGCGTCCGCCAGCTCCAAGTAAGGACACTCGACTGAGTAGTGCCCCCTGAGATGCTTATACACCTCAATTAGGTCACCCCTTGCCCGTCTGTAGTATAAGCTAGGCAAGTTCAGGCGCTCCAATCTCTCAGGGTAGCTGAGGTGCCGAAGTGCAGGCACCAGTCTGGTGGCCCTCCTTTGAACATTTTCAACCAACTGACAGTCCCTAGCATATCTCGGGGACCAGACGGGGTGACAGTACTCCAGATGGGGAAGCACTTCACTCTTGAAGATCGTTACGAGAGACGGACCGTCTAGATATCTGAATGACCTTCTTATAAGACCCAATAATTTATTTGTCTGATTTACCTTCTTCTCGCAATTGCCCGAGAAGTTCAGCTCATTGTCAACATACACACCTAGGTCCTTCTCACTTTCAGTCTCAGATAGTGCAGTTTCTTCATCCCGTTGGGACACATGATACGCCTCCTTACCGTTGGTATGCCCCTGGTGCATCCTCTTATACTTCGTGACATTGAATCTCGGCAGCCATTTCTTCGACCATTCTTGGAGCCCACAGAGGTCCTTCTGCAGCTCTTCACAGTCCGCTTGGTTCTTGATTTCCCGAAATAACTTGACGTCATCGGCAAACATTTGTATGGAGGAGTGTACAACGTCAGGCATGTCATTTATGAAACAAACAAACAAACAACAGCAGGCCCAATATACTGCCCTGTGGTATCCCGCTTGTGACAGGTACGGATGATGATTTCGTGCCATTAATCACCACACACTGCTTGCGGTCATGTAGAAAGTCTTCTATCCACGCTAGGACATTTCCTCGAATTCCGCACCCTTCCACTTTGATTTTCAGCCTTTCGTGGGGTACACTGTCGAAAACCTTGGCAAAATCTAGGTAAATATTGTCGATATTACCACCCCGTTCCAGAATATGGGTCCAAATATCCAATACCTTGAGCAATTGTGTTACGCAGGAGCGCCCCGGCATAAAACCGTGTTGGAAATCCTTTACAAGATTGTTTCGTAGTAGATGTTCCATTGCGGCATCTCTGATAATACTCTCAAGTACTTTACATATTATGCTGGTCAGGCTCACCAGTCAAAAGTTGTTCGTGGAGTGACGATCGCCCTTCTTGAAGATAGGACTCGCATAAGCCACTTTCCATTCACTGGGGACCTTTTGTTCATCCATGCATTTACAGAACAGGATCTTCAGGGGCTCTGCAAGCTCGTTGCACAACTCTCTTAGCACTCTAGGATGCATATGTCAGGGCCGGGACTCTTATGGACCTTTAGCCTGGACAGTTTATTTCTAATACCCTCTTCTGTGAACACAATGTGGGTCAGTGCTGTGTCGAACCGTCTGTCCAAAAACGCAGGAAGGTTAATCGCATCCTCTCTTGTGAAAACCGAGGAAAAGAAGCTGTTCAATGCCTCAGCTTTATCCTGGTCAGAATCTGCGTAACAACCATCTTCAAGCCTCAGGTCTGATACTGCTCACGTTTTTAATTTCGACTTTGCATAGCGGTAAAACGCCTTTGGGTTTGACTTGACCTCACTTGCAACCAGCCTCTGAAACTCCTTTTCAGCCCTTCTACACTCTATCTTTGCTTGATTTCTGGCTCTTGCATACATCCCCCTGTCCTGCTCATCGTTTGACCCAACCCACGTCTTGAATTTCTGGGTTTCTTCTTAACTCTGTCGACCGCCGCATGGTTCATGTGTAGGGATCCCCTCGTATTCCTAGAGGCACTGGGTTTGGTCTTGGGTATATATTTATCGATCAAATGGGTTACTTTACTAGTTATGATATTCAGCGTAGTGTCTGCATTCTTGTGCCTTAATGAGTCAGGCCAGTTGATACCTCTCATCTCTTCCCTCATCCCGTTGTAATTTCCAGTGTTATATTTGCACCTTGGCCTGGCCTTATCCTGAACTAGGTAACAGTTAAATCTGAATGACAACACTATATGGTGACTGGTGCCAACTGGGGCAAGGTGTTCCAGTTTGGCCACCATACCCTCCTCGTTTGTTATGATGAGGTCAAGTGGCTTGGGTGTTTGCTCCCCTCTGTAATGTGTCGGGTCTCTAACATGTTGGAACAGAAAACTATC